TATATATTTGTTTTATTCAGAATCAAGGAGAAGTCAAAATGCAAGATGTTAAAACTTATCTTTCTACAGCTCCAGTTTCGGGGAGTCAGCGACTTTCCCGTGGGGCAGGCCGTACCTTGCAGCTGAGGAAAGGTATTCGGCCGGGGGGCATCGAAGGGGGAAAGGGGGGGGGGGGCTGCTCAGAGGAGGTGTGGTGTGTCAGTAGCAGCCTGGCAGGGTGAAGGATGGAATGGCTCAAGGACTGACAATTCTTCCAGACATGAGCATATGCCGCATACCTTAAATTAGCAGAGAAACAAGCCCAAATAAGAAATGTCAATAAGGGAACCCTGCATATGGACAACGTTGGAGCAGACAGAAAGCAGCTCAAATTAGAAATAGCAGGGCCTAGTGGGCCGTCATAATTTGAATATCATCGTACTTTTCCTTCCTCTCTCTCTCTCTCTCTCTCTCCCCGTTACTGGGACACTTATCTCTTCAAGTCTCCGTCCTTGTCACCCTCCGTCATTCACGGCATCCTCGCACATACCACAATAACGCCAACTACGGAAGCACAACCCTCAATGGCCGCCACGCCTGCGGGAACGAGACTGCCTCAACGAACGAAGCGCACCAGCCAGAAGCGCATAGCTGACACATTTTTTCGGCACTTCTTTCACGGGATGTGATATCCTCGCGCATGACGGTACATGTGAGCTCATTCATTTGTCATTGTCCAGCAAGTTCTCGGTCAGATAGCTGAGAGTCCTGAGACAAGGTGTTGCAGTGAAGCTATGTCACAGTGCAAGAGTTGCTAACCCTGCTCTGCTCGTTGGCAGAGTCGCAAATAGCCTGGGTCTGCTCCCTCATGGCGGTGTTCAGCACGTGCATAGTCTGTTCGCGAGCATTGACAGTCTTCGTCCTTTTACTCGCTGGTGTGGAATCAGTCACGGCCGTGACAGTGGAAGACGAGCTGGCCGATGGCCCTCGAGGAGCGCCCGCATCTCCACCCGCTGCCCGCTGTTCCGCTGCCTCCTGTGCTTCGCCTTCACCCGCCCCCTCCTGAACGGCTTCCTGGCCAGCCACAGTGGGGCTACTCTCCTCCTCAGCCCCCGGATCCTGTAAATGGTCGGGGTGAAGAGCTTTACTTTTTCCACTTCCGAAATAATAAATACACTTCCAAGAGATCATACCAATGATACCATGACCTCCTGAAGTTGAATTTCAGGTTCGCTTCGATCCTCCCCGCCGGGGTCATTCGGAAGTACTTGGACGCCCACTCCTCTTGTCGTTGTCCGCCAGTTCGTTGTACCACCGCCTCACAACATTCCACCGCCTTTTACACTCCTCCACTTCCCTTTTCCAGCGACCAGCTTCCATATCTTTGGACACGACATCCCACACCTTCCCAACCCCTGCCCAGCTTCTCAGATTACACCTGGTGGTTCCTTCTTAGCGGGAGCTTTAACTGCACCTGTACCTGCAGCATCGTTGACACCGACATGTAACCCGCCTTGGACCCCCTCCCCACCCGATCCATGCCACATGCCCCGACCCCCTGCTTTTTCTCACCATTCTCATTGCTCTGCAGAGCAGCATCCATGTCCACTGTGGCAGGGGCATCGTTGCCACATGGATGAGTTGTGGAACCCACGGGCGGGAAACGCAGTCCAGTCCCTGCCGCTAGGACATGACTACTCTCCAAAACCGGTTTTGGCAGAGCCCCATTTCCAACTGGTCGAACTGAAGTCGGCGATGCACAATTCCAGCACCCCCATTCCCAATAGACAACACCCTAAACTCTGGACAACCGGTACTCAAGGGAGAAGGGGACAGTAGAGGTGACAAGGGAGGTGGCATGGCAGTGTGCCCGGCATGAACACGTGGGCAAATGGTGCTCACTTGAGGAGGGGACAGTAGAGGTGAGAATGGAGGTGGCATGTCAGTGTGTCCAGCATGAAGATCTCGCATTACCGGAGTTGGGCAACAGGGAGAGGACGCCGCTGGAGTAGGTGTGGCGGGGATCGCAGGGGAAGTGCGTATCGGTGATGAGAGTGTGGGGGAAAGAACAGGCAACCAAAAGGCTGCCGGAGCTGATCGTTGTGCATGGAAGAGGGTGGGGGCTGGTTGGTGGTGTACTCTGTTGATGTGCAAAGTTATACATGTAAATAGTCACTATCTTCCAATTAAAAAAAAAATAATAATAATATTGGCAAGAAAAAAAGAAAAAGAAGAATGATTTTTATTCTTCTATAAATATTAATTAAAGTCTTAATAGAATACAGTTTTCTCAACAAGCAAATAAATCAATTGTATTATAACAAAAAGAGAGAAATACATTACATTTAAATAATGGAATTTGCGATCCTGAGCAGTCATCAACTGAAGCAGACAGATTGATAGCCGCCACTACTTGGGAAGAAGCAATCTCCTCGAGACTGTTCTTGTCTACCCTGCACTCATCTGCCACGTCAGTGTGCACCTGGGCACATGGAGATGACAGGCCTATAGACTTCACACTGACCAACGGATGAGGAGTGGCAGATGCCATGTATTCATCCGAAAGTTGCTTACCAACAACACTTCCCTCCAAACCGGAGCGAAGCAGCAACGGTGAGGTGGAGGATTGCATGCCTTGCGCACGGCGAATCAACTGTTGCCTGACTGCATCCATGCAGTCGTCGCTGGCATATGCGCTCAAGACTAACGATGGCTGAATGTGATACCCACCATGCGCTACACCCACACTGCAACCGTCATCCTCGCGTGCAAAGCCGGGAGTAGAAGATTGGTTTTCCATAACTGCACTACGATCGGACTTTTCACAAATCACACTGAGACAGCCCGCGCTATCATAAACCAAGGTACACGAATCTGCAACTTCGTTGCACTGTTGCACAACCAATACTCGCTGCCGACTTCCCTGAAGGGCCTGAATGGACACCATTCGATAGAAGGATGGATCGCTCATCTTACAGCACCTTTCACAGCTACAACAATCCGTGGAGAATCAATGCTGGCCCGAGACCATTTATGCACTGCCGGTGGCAGCGTTCACCCACATCTCCGCCGCTCACAAGGACTTCCCCGAGACGTGCCATGTAGTTGCCGAAGTCCCACCGTCCCACAGACTTCTCAGCCAACCAAGACACGGTGCTGTAATGGTCCTCTTTCTCCCGCACAAGTGCGCGCGCGCATGTGTGTGTGTGTGTGTGTGTGTGTGTGTGTGAGAGAGAGAGAGAGAGAGAGAGAGAGAGAGAGATTCCATCACAATTTGGCAGAGCGGAAACAGCATCGAGTTTGACTCGCCCGTTACCCGCATGATCACTGCCCATCGACATCATGCATGCAACACCACACGACCATTGCATTCCACGGTGGCTCCAATCCGACATGTGCAGCGTGCATGGCCGTTTCCACCGTGCACATGTATCTTCGGCCGTCCACACTGCACAGTGGAAACAGCCGTTCACTACTGCCCAGTTTCAAACGCCAGAAATCTCTCGCGCTCCCGCAGGACAGCCTGCCTGCTTCCTCAACTTCGTTTTGCGTTGAAGACCGGAGTGAAGAAATGCCATGCTGCCCATGCACCATGAATTACACGCTACCGCCGCAACCGCTTCTCGTGGACGAAGCACATCATGAAATTCGTCAGAACCACTGCCTCACACGCGAACCCTCGCACACAATTTTTCAACTAGCATTGGTGCCTCCACACACACACACACACACACAGAGAGAGAGAGAGAGAGAGCAGTCAACGGCAAGACATAGCCGTTCAGGAAAACTTAGCCAAGCACTTAAAACTTCATGACCAACACTGGCATCAGAGAGCCGGATGAGACCGCGCAATACAGTGTTCTTTGCACGGTCACCAGCATCATGGCAGCATGACCATCCCCACAGCACCACCACGCACGCAGACATTCACAGAAACAACGGCAATCATGCGTCTGCCAAGCTCGACATTCACAGGAATAATCAATAGATGCGTCTGTTCCGACATCCTCAAGTATTCTGACACTGCCACCTCCGACTCCACACCCCACTACCGTTTACGAACGGCTTGTCGTGAGCTCGACCCTCACGCACACAACGAAATTGTATTCTCCGTCGGCGCTCGTACAAAAACATTTTCGTTTCTTTCAATACCCACGAACTTAAATCGCCCTTAATCCGGTCCCAATTTCAGACCATGTCACAGACCTAAACCCGTCCAAAGCTCCTTCAACTAATTCGAGAAAGGAGTCCACCAATGAAAAAACGGCTTCTCCTATATCATTTATGATTTTTCAACTAAAACGCCACATATACTCCTCACCCTGCGATCACATCTACATCTGCGGTTTTCAGCCAAGTCGCACACTGACAGAAACCTCCCAACGAAACTAAACCGTCGTGTAGTGGGACTCGGCTCCGGGATGTCGGGATCGGTGGGCTGGGGAGGTGGGGAGGGAAAATGACGATGATGATGATGAAGATGATTGATTTCGATTTTGAGAATTCCAATTTCAGAGAACGATGGGGAGGAAGACGATAAGACGACGAAGGGGGCAAGACAGCAAAAAAGAAGTCGAAGAAACGAGTGAAGAAAGAAAAAAGCAAAAAGGAAAGAAAGGAGCGTCGAAGAAAAGGAAAAAAGAAATGTTGTCGAGGAAGAAGGAGAAACACTGCAGAAGACGAAGAAAGAAATAATAATTATATAATAATAATAATAATAACGCACATGTGCCTTGTCGTTCCGCAGTTATATGCCAGAGCAATGCTGCTAAGGTGAGCAAGCAGATGAACTCGCTTGCGAGCATAGAGGATGGCAGCAGTGAATACACAGAGCGGTATTGGCAAACGTGCAAGAAACGTGGACTGCCTGGTTCAGGTATACGAGGGCACTGGCAATGACCACAATGGGAAGCAGCATGAAGAGGAGGGGGGCAAGGGAAGATATGGCGAGGAAAGCACTGGAGGAGGGGCAGCCAGGACACGATCATCTTCGAAGGCCTGCCACTTCCTCCACATCAAGGAACTCTACCCGCTCCCAGTCCACTTTGTAGTCCATTCGTGCCCACGGTTCCGCCGGTGTACGAATTCCTTCGATGAGAAGTGCACGTATTCGCAATCAGCCTCCATAAGCTATGGCAGCCTCCATGAGCTACGGCGACCCAATGTCAGAACTGTGATGATGTGATCTGGTTGGATGTTGAGTTCTTCATATAGACTGGCTCCTTGGCTCCCTGGCTCGAGTCTGCTCTGCAGTCCAACTTGGACTCGAGTGGCCGCGTGGAGGAGGAACTCTCCTTTAGCGGTGCACCAGATAAGCAGGCAAAAGAAACTTTTCCACAAACCCCCCTTGGTTTCCTAAAAGTGCCGAGAGGCAGGTCATGCCCAACTGCTGTTCTTTGAATGTGAATCCGTGGGCGCCGTCTTGGCAAAGGGGCCCTTAGAAGCATCCCATCTCATTACATCTGCTTTGACCAACACATGCCAGGTTCGAACCCTTGTATTGGCTTGGATCGAGTGTGGTTACATGGGAGGGCTCTTTGTTGGGCAAGGAGCATGTCACGGAAAGGCGGGAAGCAGAAAGCCCAAGAAAACACAAGTTCCAGAAAGAAAGGAAAAAAAGAAAGCATGTCACGGAAAGGCGGGAAGCAGAAAGCCCAAGAAAACACAAGTTCCAGAAAGAAAGGAAAAAAAGAAAGAAAAAAAAGGGAATAGGAAAACAAACAGAAGAGAAAAAAATTGAAAGAAAATAAGGGGCCACGCTGAATCTTCCGAGCTGATCTCCTGGCTATCGTCGAGATGCGGGTTCGCTCACTTAAGAGGTGAATTTGCTCCCATTGGAACTGATGGGAGGGCGTGCTCAGGTTATCAGCCAATATGCAAAGATCCACATACTTATTTTGAGGGGGGTGCTAGAGTGCAGCAGCCATTTGGCCCCGTGGTAACAAAAGATGTGAAAAAGAGGTCTGCAAACCTGGCTCCACTTGCGTGGACCGACGCGAGGGATGCGAGAGGCAGTTCGTCCGTGTCCCTCGCATCAGTTCTGATGAACTTTACGCTGCAAAGTCGGAAGTTCTGAACTTTGCGCTGCAAAGTGGGAAGATAGACTACTCGAAAGAGAACAAGGACAACGGGAACACGAACGAAAAACGCAGATAAAACGCAAAATTAAAAAGAAAGGAAGAAGGGAAAACGAAGGAAAAAAGCAGATAAAACGCAAAATTAAAAAGAAAGGAAAAAGGGGGAAAACAGAAGGAAAAAAGGAATAAATGAAAATGGAATATAGGAGAAACAAAGACTAAAGGGAAACAATGGAATCGACAAAAAAGGGGAGGAGAGCCTCACCTCATGATCCAGCAAGGCCTGCCTACTCCCGTCGTTCCCTTTGATGCATCAAGGTCTGCTTGTGTGTGTGTGTGTGTGTGTGTGTGTGTGTGTGTGTGTGTGTGTGTGTCTGTGTGTGTGTGTCAGTGTGCGCGCGTGGGCGTGTGACACGCACTTAATCCCTCCCCAGGGGCTACTCACTCACAAAATGAGTTATCAGGGAGGACAACTGGCCTTACACCTGTAGTCCCCCAAGCACCATATACTGCTTCTGCCTTCTGCAGTTCAGCCTTGCAATTCTCACACCGACCTCGTTTTGCAAAAACTCGCGCATCATCCCTGGTGTTCCCAGTGGCCTCCCGTAGCTCAGACCTCCAAGCTGATCTTGGCCCAATTGGGCTACCTTAAGCAGCTCAGTGGCTTTGGCTATACTGGCCCAATGGCCTGGATAAAACTATTCTTGGCCGAATTGGGCTACCTTAAACAGCTCAGTGGCTTTGGCTATACTGGCCCAAATGGCCTGGATCGAAGTATTCATGCTCCTAGGATAGACACACGGCCAGTGAGGGGCTAGCCAAAGCCACTGAATCTAAGATAACCCAATCGGCCGAAAATCAGGTTGGAGGGCAGATCAGAGCTTCCCGGAGTCTGATTTCTGCTGAAAGCACCATAGAGAGTGTCATAGACAAGTCACAAAGCGCAAGCTTCTCAAAGCCAGGTGTCTGCAGGCTGAACTGCAGAAGGCCAACACTGACCACATGCAGCTTCAAGCACATTTTGAAGAACTTGCAACGAGGCATGCAAGGTTGAGAAGACAAGTACAGCGGCAAGGAGCAGGGGGGAGCGATCCGACTATTAAGACATACCCTAGTCAAGACGGGGTAGGGTTATAGTTTTGGATGTTTACGATATGAATACCCCAGTCAACGACTGAACGACTGGGTAGTCAAAAGTTTTGCAGTGCATCCGCCATCTATCAGGACCAGATTTCTTTTGTTCCCTCCATTTTGTTCTGCATCACACAATCTCTTCTCCTTCCCGTTTTTCTGGTGTTTCCCATTTTCTCAATTCAGTGAACACCACAAGCAAATTCTTTGTCAAATACATCAACGAAAAGCAATTCTTATCACGATTAAAAAGAAGCCCCAAAAAAAAAAAGAGAAAACAAATTATGAACCATGGTTTAGTTGAAGAAATTCACATTCAGCAACACCCTGAAGTCCGTTCCAGGTACAGTGTTGGCACCTATTGTGCCCACAAATCCCCCACCTGGTGCACAGGTCACAGGACTTACACTCGGGTCTACCTAGTACAAACTATGACATAGCACTTACAACTCGGGTCTACCATAGTACAAACTATGACATCCTGCACGGCCCTGAAGTTTTTAAACAGGCCTACACCTGGTGCGTACCATTTTACACACCTGAACAGATATCAAGGTCCCGAAATATGCACCAGGCACAGGGCGTTGGTACCTCTTCCTCCCCCTCCCCCCCACCCCACCCCACCAGCAATCGTCACTCGTGTTCAAACCTACCGTCTGACTTGTGTACATATCGGTCGTGTACAAACCAGCCCAACCCGTTTGCACATATGCAATGCACCATCGACAGACGTTGCCGCAGCTCACATCAGTTCTCACCATTTGCACGTGGCACGGCATCATCTGCATTGCACCATCGTCATTCATTCAAGCAGCTGCTCGCGCCTCCCCGTACACTCCTCTCCTACCTCCCTATCATCGACATCCTTTCCACCAATCATATCCATATGCAGGCTGTCCTGCCAACCTCCTACCCATTCACATTCTTTTCAGCAACTTTATCCTTCCCTCACATGCGCGGTCCCCAATTTACACTACTCTCCATCCACCCCTTTCCATCTCCTTGCATCTGGCTGTCGAGACCAGAAATAAAACCAGTTGTTTCATTTATTCAGTTTTTATCGCTCACTTCCACACATTGAACATCGACAACATCATCGGAAGACAAAGCATCCAAGCCTACGACAGAATGAAGTAGCAAAACCACAGATCACGTGTCACAGAGTGTCTCCTCCGCCTCCCAACAGATTGGGAGAGCTGACAAAAACGACATGACTGTCCTCAGATCCTGGCAGGCCCTGATCACTTCTCGAAGAGCGAGACTTGTGAGATTTTTCTCTCTTCACCTCGACAACGCAGCCAATGCCTTTGAACCTGTGGCCATCATGTCGTCATATGCAACGGACCAACTGAAAATTCGTGTCCAGGACAGTTACAAATTTAAAGGTGATCGCACTGACCGTTTACTGCAACAGCTATACAGAGGGCGACCGTGTAACTACCTTTTACTTAATGGTGTACGTATTGTACACCTACCCAGCCAACCTCACCACAACCTCTCCGCTTCAGCTATCGACACCATCAATCACAGACTCCAAACCCTACCTGTACACTTTCATGCAAGGGAAAATCAGATTTGTCGCCCCCTCCCTCCCAAAGCGACGCTGTGCAAGTGGGTCTGGGACTCTATCAGTACCAGAGTCCTTGAAATAAAACCGGACTTTCGGCGTAACACCGGTCACGATGGTGCGATTTCGTAACAGCAGAAGGCGGGGAAGGAAAGAAACGCAGTCACATGGTCGAAGAACTCGTTCCTCCTCGCTCGCCCAGAAGTCGAGAAATCATATCATATCACCGACTGGCCAGAATGAACCTCCTTTCCCTATCTTGGGCCAACACAACTTCCGTCTCCTTAGTTTGTCCTCCCCGTCAGCGTACGACGTCTTTTCCTCCCATCCATGCTGCCGACTGAATGGTACTTCAGTTAATCGCCCAACCGATCTACCAATCAACAAAAACAATCACTCGGTCAAAAGGCAATCCTTCTCCTTAGTTGTCCTCCTCTTCACCCCTCAGGTCTTTTCCTCCAATCACCGCTGACGACCGACCGAAAGACCAACCAATCAACAAGACAACCACCGATCAGCACAAGTACAGTTACATTATCAACACTTAAAACACTGTATACACCCTCCAACTCATCAACCAGCCGATCAATCAATCAATCAATCAATCAATCAATCAATCCCGATCAATCAATCAGCCATCCAATTAAGCCAACCACACAACGACACAATCAAAGTCAAACGACAAACGAGTACCAGGCACACATGGCCACAGGCGAGAGAGCAAAGTGTATCACTCTCCGACGCTGAGAATCACAGTCTCCAGAAGCTTCCGGAAATCTCCGCTCGTGTCCGCCCGTATAGCATCCAGCATATTTCCGTACGCCGCGTCGTAGACAGAGCGGATTTCGCGAAGATCTATGTCCTTCCTCGCAATGACGGCTCTAGTGAGAGCATCCTCGTCAGTTCCCAATCCCTTGACAGCTGCACGAATGACGTCAGCAAAAACCCTGGGCGGGTTGTTCAGCGCCAGGCCCAGGAGATACATATCCTTCTGGAAGTCGCCTCGAAATTCCTTCTCTATGACATCAAACAAACTCCGACCGTACATACCCTCGTACTCTCTGAACACTGCTCTCACCATATCCACACTCTCCGTCGTCAATATGTCAATATAAACCCCTTCATCGTTGAACCACGAGGCAGGCCCCGCGTCGTGCAGCTTCTTCGCCAGGGCGCGCGCTAGCTCCTTGTCCACGATGCGAGGCGTGCCCGCCTCTCCCACTCCCCTTCGGTCAAACGACAGCAGGTTTTCAAACAGCTTCCTCTCCTTTCCGGAAAAACACCCCAATATATCTTGCAGCATATCCGCTTGATACACGTCTATATAAGATTCAGATATGGCAGTCAGCTGGCTAGGAGTCCGAGTGCACACGATCTCTCTCACCACGTCTTTCTTCTTCATGAACCCGCTCACAGCGTCCCGTACCCACCTCGCGTCACGGAGAGGCGCCGGTTCGATGAGAGCCAGCAATCCCCCCTGGAAAGCACCGGATGTCTTGTCCTTCACCCACTGGATGGCATCCCGCCCCATCGCCTCCGCCTGCCGAACCGTGCTCCGTCGGTCTTGCCAGGATCCGTATCCAACGACTCGCAAGAGATCATCTACCGCCCGCTCATGGTCCTCGTCGAAAGCTGCGGCACAGACAGGCAAGCGGAGCGTTGGAACAGAAAATAAATGAATGAAATCTCAAAAAAGACTCAGCAACGCAAAAATAAAGGAGCGTTCAGAATAGAAAAAACGAAATCAAAAGCTCAAACAAACCTTTCTCGGCCTTTTTTTTCCGGTTCAGATCAAAGAGGAGTATATGTTCTGATCCGTATGGTACCTCATCCGTGGTCCATCGGGCCAACATTAGAAAAAGAAAGAACAAACCGAAAATCAGAGAGAGCCCCCGAAACGATCACGACGCTCCCTCCCCACGCTCACGTATACCAAACAGAACAGCCACGAGTAAACCTCTCGATATCTGACCGCGCCCAAGATGACTACCGCCTTCCGCCTTCAGCCGAGCAGAACGCCTGCCTGCCTGCCCGGTCATTGTAATTGTTTTGAGGCGAACTTCTCAGTCCCGGCAGAGCGATAATGACCGGGCATGCTATTCGGGTGAGGAGTCCAGAGGACGGAGGCCCTCACGGATTTGTATCGCGGAGGACGTAGTTCACTACGTAATCCGCAAACCGGCTGAGGAAGGCCACCCTGCTTCCCCGAATAGCACACACGGTCATCATCGCTGTACACCTGCCCCAAAAAATACAGTTATTGTGTCCTTCGCGCCGTCCGTTAAAATTTCGACGATACACAGCACATCGGCATGGCCCCTACATAAGGATGACACGCACGAATCGAGAAATCGTTAAAGTAAAAAACGGAAAAAAAAAAGGAATGCAACTCTAATGACCAAACACTATTATGGGATACATCTCTGGCCCTCATCGGCTGCAGCACCTAAGGGCAAGGTTGCTCAACGCGACATTCAAACACTCTCCAAGAGCAGCCACTTCCTCTCCTACTCATTTTTCTTCTTAAATTATCGCTATCCGGGGAGAAAACATTAACTCTTTCGAAAACAAGGTGGTCAATGCGTCGCCGACCGTCTTCACCCGAAAAGAACGCCCGGTAATTATCGCCGTATCTGGGTTGAAAGTTCGGGCAAATACAGCTATAACGACCGGGCGTTCTCTTCGGACGAAGGTGCAAGAACAACACGTCAGAGAATGAACTCTTCGCAGCTACAAAGATTAAATTCGGCCGTCATCGAGCAGAATCAAATTTCTTAGCGGCGAACTGAAACTGTGAAGTGCGCTCTTCGAACACGGTGTTGCCTTTTTTCACAGTGCCAGCAGTCACTTTTTCACAGTGCCAGCAGTCACACTTTGAGTGCTGGAGACCATTCCGCCAGAGCCAAGTGTGCAACGGGAAAAAGAGAGGCCGCTCTTACTTATCATGTACATCGGAAAGATGATTGCTTTATGAGAATTGACTCAACTCGTTCTCCGTAAACTTGGAAGATAAGTGCCAGCTGTAACGAGGCGAATGCAATACTCAAACCGTAAGTCAAAAGACTGCCGCTCGGAGAGAGTGGGTCATATTGACAATGGCAGCAATGAAGATCGCGAAGACCACCACTGCTCGGTGAACATTCTCTACTGCGCCAAATTCACAATGCCGGCACGGCCCGGCAGTGAAGAGTGTAAAGATAGATGGCAATCCTCGATATCTAAATCAAAACCACCCACCACACCCACCTTCCTCGATCCGAAGAAATCAATCAGATCACAGAACGTCCACCAAACAAACACCCAAAATCAACGCCTCACACCAGCTTCATGAAGGCACGTTTGTCTCACGTCCGAACGTCCACCAAACAAACACCCAAAATCAACGCCTCACGCCAGCTTCATGGAGGCACGTTTGTCTCACGTCCAGGAAAAAAAAAGAAAAACACGAATTCGATTCCCGCAACGGTTCCCAGGAGAGGAGATCCCTTTCCCCTTGAGCCGAAGAGGAGTTTTTTTTTCCCTCGGAAATTGGGGAAAATAGAATTGCGAGTACGCACTACCTCTGTCTTCGGAGGAAAAGACGACATGACAATTAAAATCATTTTTCTTTCCTTCACCCACTCCCCTTCATACATCCATATGTTTGTTTTTTCCCTGCCAAAATTTCATGGCGGATCAACGAGTGGGAAAGACATTGCTGGACGTTGCCGTTCGTTTGACCTTAGAAAGGAACTGTCACAAATACGCGTGGGGCTGTTTAAGCCCAAAATCATCAGGCTTAACCACGGAATGCGTTTCGGCTGTGTGATCTTACAGATTAACCCCGCCCCCGGCTGCCCCGGCTCCCCGTCTGGCACTGCACTTGGTCCTGATTCACGATCCAGTACACACATAGGCAGATCACCCGACAGCGGACCATCCGGTAGGCAGATAGGTAGACCGCCTGAAAGCGCGTGGTACCCACCGGAGACTTACAGGCCCGATAATACCCTAGGATTTCTCGCGGACAAAGGTGGACTTAGGGCTTAAACAGACCCATAGTACTGAGTTTTGGCCATGACGATATTACGCCGAAGTCGTTACATATTGGCCTCGGGCAAGGGCAGGTCCAGGGAGGAACTATTTAGAGAAAACTACGGCGCAGTCAGGGATTTAGTTTGTAATTGCACTTGAGGCAAAGGGCCGGTAATGCTGAATGAATGTATATGATCTACGTTTCGGGTCCGGTGGGGTCGCGTGGGGGTGAGGCAAAAGGGCCGGTAATGCTGAATGTATAAGACCTACGTTTCGGGTCCGGTGGGGTCGCGTAGGGGTGTATTGTATTCGCGGGATTCCCTGAAGTGCAATTACAAACTGTTTTCGTGACTGCGCCGAAGTTATCCCAAATATTGAACTAATCGTCCATCCCCATGTATGCCCTCCGTGGCCCAGGTCCGATCGCCCACGGACCAGTCATTAGGTGAGAGCTCACCGTCGTTGCACTCCCATCCCTCCGTAAATCCGTTGATGAGAGTCGTCGACATCAAAACACAGTTCGACCGTTGTGAGTCGTGACCCACAAAAATTCAACGAAATACCCAGCCTGTGAGGCTGACTGTCACACCCATAATAAACTATTAAAACTTTTAAGCAGACCAGATATCCAGACATGCTATAATAATCAGGACTGGGACATAATTCCTAATTACCTCGCGAAGGCTGGTTAATTCACGACGACACCTGAGGCCGTCGCCTCTTTCTCGTTAAACAAACAGAGCAAACCTTCGAAACACCGTTATGCTCCCCTCCCTCCAGTGAAGGAGTAAGTCAACAAGACAACCGTCATAGACACCCGGGCCTCAACGCCTGTGAGACGACAATCGGTCAAAGCAATCTCGCCCCTCACACAGACGTAACCCTTCCTTATACACCCAAGTGCACACCATACGGGCATTGCAGCTGTTGCTCATAATAAACGCCATAACTTAAAGAATGAAAACTCAATACCTGCGTAACGTTGTCATACTAGCCGCCAATACAACCAAAATTCACGCAAACGTACGCATTCACATGATACACTCATGAGAACCCATCTAGCTCCGACGCCGGTGCAAATGCGTACAACCATTCTAACCAACACTTAACCTGCCAGAAACGCCCACTCACTTCATCTAAGAAAAGAGGCACCGAAGAAAAACAACAACAAAATAAATCGACCGGGCCACTCCTGTGCAACCAGTCACCGGCTACGAGAACTAGCTATGGACGACTTCATAGCCCCGACTACCGTCTTCCCCCGAACATATCGACCCTGAAAACGAAGGCTACAAGCTATATTTTCGGTTTGGTACAGCCAAAATGAGGATGCGTTATGTTCGGGGGAAGACGGTAGCCCACATGCTCAACCGACACCGAAAAGCAGTAACAACGACGAAACCGCGGCCATTGGTGAGAGAGAAAAACGGGCTGATAAACACCCTCGCTCCCGCAAAGAAAAATTGTCCGATATATTAGTAAATTTCGGTCTGCAGATAATTTCGGTCTGCAGATAATACACCTGACCACAGAAAAATTACGACAAAGCGAAGGAAAATACCTGGGAAAGAGGCAAAATCCTGGCAAAGGGGCGGAGACCTGAGCGAGTGGAAGCTGACTGGGAAGAGGAGATAGACCCAGGAAACGGTGGAAAACTGGAAAACTGAGAAAAGGGGGAAAGACCTGGGAAAGGGGGAGGGACCAACGTCTTACCATCCATGGCACGTATCAAAGAACCTGCAGCTGTTTGCGGATCGTTGACGCGGTTCAGTTGTTGGGTCTCCATAGCCGAATCCTATGAAACTGCCTCGCCCCTCTTCGCGGAAAAACACCGAGCTATAGCCAACACAATACTCAAACGCACGATGGTCGTCTGTTGATGGTTCGTCTGATCAAGACTCTAAAGGTTCGCCTGAAAATGGTTCGTCGACTCCACTTAAAGCTGGCCCCGGATCACAAAACGCAACAAAGAATCTCTCCCAAGTGCTTACGATTTCTTCGCCACCTCTTCCTCGGCAAATGACCGTAGACGCAGTCTCCTGCTCCTGCCAGTAGTCTAGCCCGACATCCCCCTCTCGCAACCGCGGCACGATCTAGAGTCCGGCCGCCCACACTTACTCCAGGTAGCGTCCATCAACGAGAGCAGCCGCCACATCCACGACACACTCTCCGGAGTAACTCCCTTAGGTTCCTCTGCGCAGCTTCTCTACTGACACGTGCATCTCACAACTCTGCGATAGAGTGTGCGTTTACATACTGTCGCGAACTCGACTGTTTTCTACTACTCACTGGAAATGACGTCAAAGTCAGCAACTCTGTAGTTGGTTCTCTATTGCCTGAGACTGACGTCGACTCAGTCAGTCTCGGCTGATTTCAACCCCCTCGTCCTCTCTCTCGCTCCCCCGCGTTCGCCTGGTTCTTCTCTCCGATTCACGCGTTATGTTCCGCTCGGCTATTTTCAACCTCCCCGCCCTCTCTCGCGCTCTCCCTCGACCGCTCGACTCTTCTCTCTGCTCTCTCCCGCGGTCGCTCGATTCTTCTCTGCTCTATTCTTCTCTCCGATTCACACGTCATGTTCCCATCGTTCGTTACCGGCAGTGTCCCGGTAGATTCGATCTCTCTCACCCCGGCTGCTCATGCAATGATCGTGAGACAACCATCTACCCACGCCCCCCGAATACCCGCGATCCGGACTCGGCTCACATTTCAGCGATCAGTGTTGCCTCTTTACTGCCTCGCCTCGATCAGCTCGCCGTTCAACACTTATATAGCACGCTCCGCGTGGAGGCCCAGCTTCCAGTGTTGCCTCTTGACTACCTCACCTCAACCAGCTCGCCGTTCAAAACTTATATAGCACGCTCCGCGTGGAGGCCCAGCCAGGAGGCCGGGCCCTTTTTTCTGAAGAAGGTTCTTGGCAGAGAGCGCGGATTGTTTTTTTCTTCGGAGGGAGGGGGGGGCGTTAGGTGGTTATGTACATTGGCCTTTTTACCAAAAACTGCGGTGGCCTTGTCGTGAGACCGGTGGCGCAGCTCCTGGCACTGATGGGGGCATCTGCGTTGGTTGGCATTTTCGGGCCTGAACGCGCGTCCATCCTGTTCGCAGCCAGGAGGCTGCGGTTACTCCAGTACTTCGTGCCCGTTAACGCGCCACGATTTTAGGAAACGTACTGACCGGTACAGGAGCGCCCAAATTCGTCCGACTAGAAACGTTGCTACTCTATTTTTTTCCGCGGCCGATAGCTGGGCCAAGTACTGGTGGTTTTCCCTTCGGGCACGTCGTGGACGTCAAATCGGTGTCTTAGCGGGGTGGTGTAGGGGTTGGGCGGAGGAAAAATAGGGGGCGGTCGGCGTCAGCTCTACGGGATGGACCCCAACATACTGGCTGAAGGACTTTTCATTGTCCGCCAGTGATTTTTCGGTACCCCACAAGCCGTTTTCCGTGGCCTGGAAGGTCCTGCTGAAACGTTTCCACTCTGCCGGTTTAGAGGAGCGTCCAATGTGGCATCGAATCCAGACGGTAGCCATTGGGGAATTGGAGACGCCTTCCGGCACCAGCGGTGGAAAGCGGGTCGACCAGAGGGCGGACATTCAACTGTTAGACCACGCTACGCGTGGTCGCGCAGCCACGGTCTTTCCGTAATTCATGTTGAGCTCGGGTTTTGCGCACAGTTCATTTGTTTCTGCTTTCCTGATGTCGAGCCCAAGAAAGGTCGTGCCCGGCACCCCCCCATGCAATAGGAGGGAGGCTATGCTAAGCATGGTCGCGTTTTGTGCTCGGGTCCAGTGTTCAGCTGTGTGACATTGCTAAGTCGTGTTCAAGTGTGGGGGACGGGGGGCTCTGCCCCCCCTCTCCCAC